TAGGTACCTACAAGCTACAGTAGGTTCATATAATATACTAAAAACTTGTAGCAAAGTAAGTAAGCTAAAAAGTTATTGTTTTCGCTAAACTAAGTAGGTAAGTACATAAACATTTAGTGAAAACAAATAAAAACTATTATGACATCATGCATCAATCATTTTATACGTATGAATTTTAATAATTGAATCGTTTTTAATATTTAGACCTTTAGGGATTTCTGAATATCTCTCATATTTTACTGATTTTTTATGTGCCAAAAATTAAACCATGCAGTCTGAGATTTATGGTGGCAAGGTGTAGGTACACTGTAATTTTGTTCTTCTTGTAATAACTAATAATACATTTAATCCTGATCACGTCTAAGTGTCGTATGACACAACTATATAATGATTAACAACACATACAACTAAACAACTTAGAAGAAAAACTATAAATCCAATAGTTATTATGTTTTTAATGCAAAATTTAAACTCATTATAGTGATAATAACAATCGTAGAATATTTTAATTACAATAATTAAGAAGATACGATCAAAAACTACAGTGATTATAATTTGTATTTAATATAATAATTATGTGATGCGAGAAAAAGGATGACACTATATAGTTAACATAGTGCTTTTAAGACAATACGAGGTCTAATTATTCATTGTAACCTTGAAATATTCTTTTAAAAATTAGATTACATGAGATAAGACTTTGACTCCATATGAGAATATATAAATACTCTTTGGTTACATTTTTCAAATTTTAAAACTAAATAAAAAATATCTACGATATTAGTCTGATTCTAAATTAGTTATTCAGGCATTGATAAAAATATATTTAAAAATTAAATATTATTTTTACTGTACTATTATAGTATTATACTATTATATACCTATATTTGTGTAATTTATATAGGTACCTATACTAAGCTTCTTTCTGTTGGTCGAATGCATTTTAAATGGCACACATCTTGTGATGTTATTCCCCTACGCTTTAGATTGGAAATGATACTAGATATATAGAATATACATTTATTTAGATTTAAAAAGTTGACTCTTATTAAAAGTTTGAGAAAGTAGTCGGTTTATACTATTATATCTTATTAACGATCATCGATTTTTAAAATATATTTTAAATAATTTATATCTGTACTATTGGTGTTATTGTGTTAAGTAGTAAAAAATATTTAAATATGTAGGGCGTATAGGTGTTAATAAAGCTATTGTAGCATAAGATTTACGATTTAAGTATTTACGATTTCTTCCAATTTAAAGACGGATCGATATTCTGGGATAAAGTAACTGCACAAAATTATATATTTTTTATATTATCAAGTAAAAATATATTTATATTAAATCTTAGTTCTAGGGCCCAGTCCGTAGCCTAAATTTTCCTCTCAAATAATATGTAGTTACTGATAGTTTGTGGATCATAATGTCGCAACCTGCAGTCGCGGTATAATTAAGTATAACATCTCATCTTCTTAACTACGTACACACAATGGACTTGCTTTTAACACTTCCTATATACCTCAACATTTATTCCTCTAACTATTTTTACTCAGTTTGAGCTATTTTTAGACATCAGAAATGTTTGATTTTTACTAGTTTTTTAAAATAATAATGAGATAAAAAAATTGTTGATCGGTCATAAACTTTTTTTTTACTTTTACAAGTACGCAGTACTCCCTCGTTAACACGAACTCGGTTAACACAAATTATTGGATAATGTGAACCGGTTTTTCAGTCCCAAGAAAGGCTCTATATTATAAGAAAGGGTTTTTTTTTATTTCCTCGGTTTAAACGAATTATTTTGGCTGACAAGAAACTCGAACAAATTTTAGGTACCATATTGTCGTTTTGTTGATTAACACGAATAGAAAAATATCAATATGTACATATGTATCTATTTTTTATACAAATGGATAATGATCTCGAGGTCTGCGATGAAAATGCTGGAGAAGATGAAAACCCCGAAATCTCAGATCAAGAAATTGAACCTACCGAACATACAGTGAATAAACCCTCTCGGGCTGATGCGTTGGCAGCCTTTGATACCCTCGTCAAATTTTTCCAAACTAGTACAGAGTTAGATTGAAAATTTGATGACCAGTTGAACAGCATCAGAAAACAGTGCCTAGAAAACTATGAAGTTACATTCACCCAGAAACCTATCACTGACTTTTGTAAACCTACGTGAGTTTTAAATTAATTTTTTTTGAAAAAAATGTATTAAAAATATTTCTTTATATATGATGTAGCGTTGTAATTAATTAATTAAAAATATTTGTTTATATGTAGTATGTATGTACCAAAGTAATGTACATTTATATTTTGAAGATTACATAAAAAAAAATTTATTTGAATGTAAAATAACCTATCGGCTTACACAAATTTTTTTAACACGAACAGGTTATTTTGTGGTCCCGTCGTGTTCGTGTTAACGAGGGAGTACTGTAATATACAATCTGTATCATTGATACAATAAGAATATATGCTAAAAGTACATTCACAGGAAAATAATTTGATAAAAGGAGCCACCCATTGATGACACTTTTTATGGTTATTAATTATTTACTTTAATTATTTATTTATTTATTTAATCTTTTTATATTTTATTGTAACAAATCACGACACCACTTGCGATTTAGGCGTCTTGGGGGATTACCTGGTATGGTAGCGGAGCTCAATTTTTTGATAAGTGGATTCGAATGAGTGCTTAGAAGATGGTTGTAGAATCTTTTATAGAAACATTTGGATTCCTCAGCTATTGTTTTTAATTTTAGATCTGAATGAAGGGAACAATTTGAGACGTAAGGAGGTGCATTTGTTAATTTCCTTAGAGCAATGTTTTGGAATCCTTGAATTTTGTTAAGGTTTGTCTTTTTTGCGCTACCCCATAACTGCAAACCGTACGTCCACATTGGTTTGAGTAGACTTTTATATATAATAAGTTTGGTGTGCGTGGAGGTATATTTATTATTGCATAATACCGTTTTTAGCATGCGTAGGCGATTATTTAGAGCTAGTCTTTAGGTTCTCATATGGCGGGCCCAAGTAAGTCTTTGATCAAGTGTTAGATCAAGATATTTAATAGTAGGGGTCATAAGCTTAAAAATCTAATACAAGATTCCTCAAAGTTCGTCTTTCTTTAACAAACAAAAAATGTGTACCCGAAAGTTAAATTAAATTAAACAATTTTACGACATTAGATACTCACTCGATTTCTCATATAACGATTTTCTTAACTTGTTGTAATTTAAAAACGAATAACGGTATGTATACTTGAAATTAACACTAAATGTTTATTTTATCATTTTCTATATTTGATAATATGTTCAAAATATGTTGACTCGTTTTGAGCTAATTATAGACATTTGAATTGCTCTGAGTACTCGGAATATAGGTAGGTACTATGATATTTCAACATAAATTGTTTTAAACACTGATTAGCAACAATTATAACATATTATAAAAAGTTGTTTTATTATAACTCTATTAGGTTTAGTTGTAAGCATTAAATTAGTTATTTATTTAAAAGTCAAAAACATTCAATTTGGTTATCTATTTTTTTTTTTTACTAATATTTTACCTACATTTCTTTATTTGTATACGCTGTTTAATGTTTTATTTTATGAAATAAATCTAAATTACTAAAATAATATACTCCAATACTACAGACTAATTCTAAACAAATAAGCTTTTCATTTGTTCCAAGTGCTGTTGAAATATTGTCCCTGTTCTTGGGGTAGGTACAATGAAGTAATAATTTTTTCTGATTTCATTCAATTAGGTATTTGCGACAGTTGAGATTCGATAAACAGTAAGCAGTAAGCACAATATTATATTATATCAGTACTGTAATACGTCTATATAGGTAGGTAGGTACTATTGTGGTACTTTAGTCTGTAGACTGTATTGATTAAAAGTATGATATAATTAAACAGTTTAAATTTGGTCAGAAATGAATTGCAAAATGAAAAATGTTACCACCGTGCCATAGTTTAGAAATATATAATCATACTTATAAGTTATAGGTAGGTGGATTGTTAAGTTTTTTCACACATATATACTATGTGTCTATGTAGTGCAACTTGTGCTAGTTTACAGTAGATACCTACCTGGCTTCTTATTATTTTATAGTATACAAATAGTATATAATATCTAATGATGCGAGAGCATAATACATAAATATGTGCCACGCTATACTTAACTGCATAAATATGCGAGTGTAAATAGTTGGGGTATTAGATTGCATTTTTATTATTTTTCCATTACAATTAGTTGGAAATAGACCACGCATATAATAGTTCGACCTTCGTCTCATTATCGAACACGATAATCACCATCACGAATATTACGATAGTTGCGTGTGATATACCTTCTCGTGTAATAAAACGAATATTATAGGTCTGTAGCAATTTTCATCCGCGCAGCACCTAGTATTTTAGTATATGTCGAGCCTAAACAAATTATATAGGTACATGATAATATTATAGATAATAATACTTATTAATACCTATTTTCGAACACACAAAAAATTGTTATTACTTATTACATCTGAAAGGTAATATTATAATGATATATAAAGAAAAAATGGGACTTGATTATCACCCACTGAGAAGTTCATGTTGTTGTTAGTGGATCGCTATTATAATTGCTGAAATTTCAGTAACTACCGCTATACGTCACATTAATGGTTATTTAATTTTCAAATATGCTAAAAGCATTTCGCATTAATGAACTGTCTCCGCAATGAAAGCAATGATTAAATTCGATATACAAAGGTTATATCTTGTTTACACAAGACGTTACCAAAATCATTATGGATAAATTGTTATATAATTATTTGTTGTTAATTCCTTTAGAATGTGGTTAGACAGGAATAGATATCGTACTTTATCTTTGAATAACACCGTAATGCATATTAAACTCGATTATACGTAGGCATGTATATCAGCTTACAATTTTATTAATTCAAATGATTTATTTAAGGCCATATACCAGTGGCGCCGAACTAGGGGTTCAAGTCTGGTCATGACCAGACCAAATTTTTAGGGGTGGTGGGTCGTGGGTGTGGACGTATGGTATACCAATATACTGTATACAAGTAATGAAGAGAAATATTAAGGAAATATAGACGAAATAATATTATACTGTATATTTCATTGGCATACTAGGCGTATATAGGTTTACCGTATACACGCAAATATGTAACTGTGTAACAAATAATACTGTGTATGCTACCATACTGACGCAGTAAGCAGAACGCTGTACGCGATTGCCATTAGGTACCTACTAGGAACTACACTGTCACTGTGTAGTGACTATAGCATGCGCAGTGCGGGCCGCGGGGTGCCGTGCTATTTTTAAATATGTACATTCTATTATACGAAATTAGGAAAATACTTATTTTTAGAATACTGATAAGTGATAATGTTAAATTGTAAAAATGAAAACATCATGTCGTCAATAATCTATATTATTATTAATTATTATTACAACTTTTCATTATTACAATTTGCCTAGTGCCTACAACAGTCTACACAGAACTACAGAAGTGACTAGTTGTTGTTGTTGACTACATAGTGTGATAGTATACCGTATAATGTGTTCATTTTAATGTTTTTAAACTGCCTATGCTCTAACAGTCTAACGTGTATGATATTTTATCAATTCATTTTAGTCTTAACTGTATGGACAAATATAAACTGCTGCAGTAATTTGTGAATTACTAATTAGTGTTTCATATTTGGTAAATTGTTCATAAATTTCATAGGTTGTTTATATCATGAATTTTGCCAACTCTAAAATTATTTGTGCTGTGTGTGGTAGAAAAAAAGAAAAACTAAATAGCACTAATTGGTCTAGGCACATAGAAAAATGTAAAAACAAAAAAATAAAGTTAACACCAAGTTGCTCCAAATTTGCGAGTAACAATTCATTTATTTCCAAATTTTTTAAAACTACTTCAACAGAACTTTCAGTTGGAAGTACAGGTAACTATATTAAATATTAATTTTTACTTAATTTTACTAACCAAAAAATATGTCCAATGAATTGAATTCTTATAATTCTATATGGAACTGTTTAAATGTTTAATTGAAAAACTTACTTAGTTATTATTATGTTTGTTAGTTTTTATTTTTGTTATTTAATGTTGAAGCAACTAAGTGCAAAAGAAAATTTAATTTATGTTTCTATTTAAATATTTATAATTGTTTTATTTTAAAATAGCTCTTTATTAATTAATGTTAAATTGAAATTCATACATTCATATAAACATATAGGATATAATTATATAGGCAATTATATAAGCATATAGGATATTATATAGATACCTTATAGCCTATAGGTTAAGTGTGATTTTATAAGCATGCTCATCCCACCATGCGTAGAATTTTAATTTTATCTTGTACAATTTAAAGCACTAAAATCCCTACATTTTTATGATATAAATATTTTTTGTCTGGTTGATTTCTTTAGCTTTCTTAAAAGAAAACCACTACTTACAACTTAATATTATGAGAAAAAAACATTAATTATTCTTAAAATGTAGTATTATTTGTGATTTAAATTATTCATGAAATAAATTACAAATTTGAACATTATTCAGGGTTAAAAGTGGGATGAGTATGTTACACAATCACTGTTTATAAATTACATGTACCTAGTACCTACTATATGTCTATATGCATTAGACATTATACATATAACGATATATGGAACGCTTAAAACTATATGGAGACGTTAGTCCCCCCCAGGAATTTTTTCCCACTTAAAGCCCTGTCTATAATTAATATAGAACTGGAAGCTGTTAAAAATAAATATAATAATATAATTTGCATTTTATTTGTTATTTATTGAAAAACATCATTAATTTTTTTTAAATGGAATAGCAGATAATCAATTGAATGAAGTAGCTACAGTGGAAACACATAAAGAACCTGTAGAAAAGTTAAAGTTTGATATAGGTAGATACTTTATAATTATATATTTTTACATTTTATTTGTTATTTATTGAAAAACATAATTAATTTTTTTTTATGGAATAGCAGATAATCAATTGAATGAAGTAGCTACAGTGGAAACACATCAAGAACCTGTAGAAAAGTTAAAGTTTGATATAGGTAGATATAGATACTTTATAATTATATATTTTTACATTTTATTTGTTATTTATTGAAAAAAATCATTATTTTTTTTTTTAAAGAAATAGCAGATGAAGAATTGAATGAAGTAGGTATAGTGGGAATACAGCAAGAACCGGTGGAACAGTTACACATAGGTAGGTACTTGGTAGTACTAGGTACTTAATAATTATTTATATTTTTATTATACTCAGTGAGAATAATTTATAAATTTTCAAAAAGCTTAGTTTGGTGAAGAATTTATTAAAGCTTTGAAATATAATATTGTTTTCTAAAATCACTAATCAGAGAAACTTTTACATATTAATTTATTAGACTTTTAGTAGGATTTTAATTGATTTGCAATCAAAAAATAACAAAATTATTTTATATTAATTTTTCTCTATAATTTTGCCTTATTTAAAATTTCTAATTTTAAGATAACATATTATTATGATATATTTTTATTTATTTCATTTAATAGAAATACGTGTTTTTTTTTTTAATTTACAGTAAGAAATCTGAATAATAGAGTCTATGAGTTAAGTACTAATTCAAAATGGAAAAATGATCCAGCAATATTTAAAGCTATTCATTTTACTCCAGATATGATTAATTTAGTACTGAGTTGGGGACCATGTCAGCCGAATCATAACGAAATGCCTGATAGAGAATTTCCAAAAAATGAAATGAAGAAGTTAGTATGATTTTAATTAATTAGTCACTTTTTTGTGTTGTACTTAGAATTTATATAATTATCAAGTTCTTTCATATTTTAATTTAGTTGTTTTTATAGTAATTTTTGTTGAAAGGCTTATAAAATGTTACTCAAAATATTTTGAGTGTAGATCATTATGTATTATTAAATAATTGATTGAAATACCTACTTTATAACTTAATTGGATAACTAATTTTAAATTTATAAAATAAGATTCCTATTTCATAGACGTAGCATAATAGGACAAGTGTCAACCAATATAAATTGATATTTAATAATATAATAAAACCAAATTATATTAAATTATAAATTGATCAAATTAGCATTTCTATAAATCACCTATTCAATTTACAATTTTCCGTATAAATTTAAAAGTAATGAGTATGTAAAAAAAACATAACATATACAACCTCTTAAAGTGGTATTTGATGTTTAAGAAATTGTATTAATATACTAATGTACCTAATTAAAAATGTCAATTTTAGGAGTTTTCATGAAAATTGGTTTCATAAAAAACTTGGTGATGGAACAATGGTACACAGAGACTGGTTAACATACTCTCCATCAGAAAACAGGGTATATTGTTTACACTGCATGTTATTTGGCAAACACCCTCAAAAAGCATGGGTACATGATGGATTCCAGCAATTTAAAAATGGAACAATAGCCTTGTTGGCACATGAAACTAGTTCAGTTCACGTGGATGCCACTCTTCAAGTCAAATTGAAAAAATCTGTTTTGCCATTAATACCTTCTATAATAGAAGAACAAAGAAAGCAAGTAGCTTTTAATAGAGAAATTGTGAGTCAACTAGTAGAAGTCACAAAGTTCCTTGGACAACATTCGCTTGCATTTAGAGGTCATCGAGAAAATTGGTCAAGAATCATCAAAGGCAATTTTAAAGACTTGCTATTGCTTCTGAGCAATCATTCTCCTGCGATTTCGGTCCACATTGCTAATATCAAAACACATTCGAGAAAAGAATTATCTTTCATTAGTTGGGATCGTCAAAATTTGTTAATTAATGCAATATCTCAAGAAATAGTTTCTTTTATTAAATCAGAATTGAATAATGCACGATTTTTTAGCATAAGTATTGATTCAACATTTGATATCTCTAGACGAGAACAAGTATCGTTCATTGTACGTTATGTTGAAGACTCAGGAAAAATAAATGAACGATTACTTGCAATGAAGGATTCAGCAGAAACCACTGGACAAGCTCTATTCAATTTATTTTCAAAAGTAATGGATAGTCACAATATTGATTGGAAATCATATCTTATCGGACAATCATATGATGGTGCAGCAAGCATGCAGGGGAAATATAATGGGTTACAAACAAAAGTTAAAGAATTATGTCCTCAAGCTACTTTTGTGTGGTGTCATGCTCATCGTCTTGATTTGATTGTGGTTTCAAGTGTCGGATCTTGTTTAGCTGCTATGAATCTATTTGGTAATCTTGAAAAGGTGTTTGTGTTTATTAGCTGTAGTAAAAAGCGAAACTTTCTATACCGCGAAAAACAAAAAATCTTGTACCCCAAAGCAAGAATACGAGCAATAAAAAAAGTAGAAACTACGAGATGGATGTCACAGTCATATGCACTTACCACTGTCCTTAAGACACTTGATGCCATTTTAGATACATTAGATGAAATAAAAAATGTAGAAGGTCAAGTTGATTTCAAAACTGGTGCTGAATGCAATGGCTTAACTGAATATTTACAGTCTTTTAATTTTTTGCTTACTGCAAATATCTTTAGTAAAATTTTTGATTATATAGAACCTGTGAGTAGAGCACTTCAAGCCCACAGTATTGATATAATCATGGCCATGGATATGTTAGCAAAAGCACAAAAAAATATTGAATCACTTCGAAATGATGATACATTCCAAAATATTTATGATTCTACTAAAAAAAATGGAAAGGTATTTAACTTTGATTTACAACTAACTACTAATTCCAATAGACGAAGACGAGTCCCTTGCCAATATGATGAAAAATCAAGAGATCAAGCATTAGAAGACCCTGTAGTATCCTACAAAGTAAATACATACTTTGTGATTTTGGATATTATCTCTGCAGATTTGAAAAAAAGATTTAATGATAATTACATTGAAGTAGCAAAAGATTTATACTTGTTAACCCCAAAATGTGTTTCAAATATAATGGAAAAATCAAGTTTTCCATTAGATGCTTTTGTTTCAATCTGTAAAGTTTACAGCAAATATTTAGTCCGAGAAGATGTTATTCGAGAATATAGTCAATTTATTAAATCTAAAATTAATTTAAATTCTGGGATTGTACCTGATTTTGTACATCCTATACCCGAAGAAAACTCTGATTTCTCTGATAATGAATCTAATGATGAATCTGAATATATTTCTGAAATTATTAATAGTGATAACCACGAGAGTATGAGCATTATAAAGATGTACGCATTATTTGTAAACACTGGACTTATTACAGTATTTCCAAATTTGTTTACAATATTAAAAATAGGAGTAACACTGCCAATTTCCAGTGCTTCTCATGAACGTTCCTTCTCAAAACTTAAAATCGTCAAAACCAGACTTAGATCAACTATGTCACAAAATCGACTTGAAGACCTTATGTTGATTTCCTGTGAGACTGATGTTGTAATTAACACTGAAAATGTCATTAACAATTTTGCAAGAAGATCATCCATTTTAACTAAATCATTAATGTATCGGTAGGTATTAATTTCTATGACTTTTTATATAAAATAAATTTAGTGATGGAAATATTTATAACTGAGTATTGTGTCCTTTAAGTAATATAATAAATACTAATAATATATATTTTTGTATAGTTTTATTTACTATGAGTCATGACAAGTGAAATCATTTAATATATTATATAATATTAAGTATAGTTTTACTGCTCATTTGAAGTATAAATATTTTTAAAGTCAATATGATACTAATGGAAAAAAAAAATAATAGTATTTATATTTTATGTATATACAAATAGAGTAATATAGAGTGATAAAATAAATTGCATACAAGTTGTGACACAGAATGACAAAATTAAATAATTTATATTAAAAAAAGTAATTTTTGTAAAATAATTAGTGGTTGTGACTTATAAAGGATTACTAATATTGGGGTGGGGTGGGGTGGGTGGTAAAATTTTAATAGGGTGGTTGTTGACCAGACCATTCAAAATGTGGTTCGGCGCCACTGCCATATACAATATAAGTTCGTGCTCTATTTTTACTTTATAGTTTTTACCTTTTATTCTATATTTGATACAAATATAATAGAACCAATACCTATTTTTTTCGTGGTATCGAGAACCAGAGGGGGGACTGCGTTAGCATTACTTCTCCTCAATACCTATCACTCAGTATATATGTAGGTAATCCAGTAATCGTTATTTTTTTACTTTAACTCTCACGAAAGGAGTTCGCGCATAATAGTCCATGTTAATTTACATAGTCAATAATATATTAATAGTTTTGAGTTATAACTTATAACAACGAAGCTGTGAAACTGCAGTATAAAATGGACCCAGGTCCCAGGATACCGCTGATATATAATCTCGTATACCTCTAACTTGGAAACATAGTTTAGTTTACACAAAACTAACCTTTGATTGTGGGAACGAAAACTTTTTATTTTGCAATTTGTAGAACATGGTATTATTTTAATATCACTGATCACCTCCAAAATTTCGTTGTAAATTCTTAAATAAATGTAATAGAAAACTATCATAGAATCAATTTATAATGCAAAATACCTAATACATTTATAAGAATATAATATTTTGTAATGTTGTAGATAAAACTTATCAAACTTGATCGAAGAATTTGGTTTAAGAGTATGTAAAATAACCATTTTAATCGTATTATTTTTTTTTTAAATGTATCAAACCCATATCATTAAATATGTAGGCTTGTATAAAAATTGTTGAATTGAATGTATTTTATTGTGCAGTAGAATATTTTTCCTACGACCCTGAATAAAACGTAAACCTGTATAAAATTGAAAAAATACCAAGTTATAATCGTTACACATTATACAGGTTTCATTGTACCTACCCACATAAAATATAACTCAAGGAGGTTATCCAGTCACCCAAAACACTCACCCTGATTGCGCTATACTGAATTACAATCTTAAATTTCTAACAAATATATAGTGGCTACATGTATCTTTTAAGAATATTTAATAGTAAAAAGTGTTTTCTCAGAGTGAAAGAATCACTTTGATTGTAAGAAAGAGAATGTTCTGCCATTTTTTGACAAATAACTACTGAACTAATTTTGATACTTTATTATTCCTATATATATGTACATGAAAATATTGTATCATAATATTGTACAACCAACAACTTTATATTAATATACAGTGTGTCCCGTTTTAAATGTACCACTAAATATCTCAGCCCGATAATCTTAGATTGAAATACGGTTTGCTACAATAGCTAAGGGGTACTGAAGTACACATTTAAGGACAAATTTCAAATTTTTAACTCTTGTAGTATGCGCATGCGCAATACAAATTTTTTTTTTTAAATTGCAACACCTATTTTTCTCACCGGATATGGATAGATTATTTTATTCTAAGTAATTTTGATCCATTGACCATAGTTCTAAACCTAAAATTGAATGTGTTACAGCTTTTTGAAATTTTAAAATAATTAAATTTTTTCGATTTTACCAAAAACATTACACGCTTGAATTTGATACAAAAGTAAATCATTTTTGAACTAAAATGAAATGCATTTAAATAATTGAATACAAAATCACCTAAAACAAAATGCCTAGCTAATTTAAATTTAATTAATTTAAAAATAAATGTACCAATTAAATTGACACTGACGTTGTAATTTGCGTTATTATTGTGCGATAAAAGTTATTGAATTATTTCCAGTTTTATTATTAGTACTTCGATAATATTATTGTAGATATTGTTTGATTATCAAAAATGAACTAATGCACGTTCCCTCAGTATTGTACGTTCATCGATGACACTTATAACTTTTAACATAATACTTTGAAAGATTTTTCTTTTTTTCTTCTTTAAAATGTTAAACAATAGTGAAAAAGTTGATATGATTTTAATTTATGGTGAGTGTAATAAACATTGTCGGGAGGCTGCAAGGGTTTATGCAAATCGATATCCCGAAAGATATCATCCACCGCATAATTTTTTTTTAAGATTAGTTAATAATTTACGAACTTACGGGACTTTTTCGATAAGAGATTCACAGAGACAACCACTACGCAATATGGAACCAAATGATGATCAGGAAAATGAAGTAATTGCGTACATTCAATTAAATCCTCACTCATCTTTAAGACATGTTGCTAGAGAATTTGGCTTTTCAAAAACAAAGGTACACAAAATATTCAAAAAATACAAGTTACATCCTTATAGGGCTGATCTAGTTCAGCATTTACGCCAAGGTGATGACGAACGTAGATTAACATTTATTGCATGGATAACAACATGTATAAATAACGACCCATTATTTTTAAATTACATTTTGTGGACCGACGAATCAAAGTTTACCAATAATGGTGTTTTAAATAAGCAGAATAACCGTTATTGGTCAAACGGAAATCCACATTGGGCAGTTGATACAAATTATCAAACAGTATGGGGCACAAATGTGTGGTGCGGATTATTAGGAGGACATTTAATAGGTCCACATTTTTATGACGGTACTCTTAATGGAAGACGTTATTCAGATTTCTTAACTTTGCTACCGATCATGTTGGAAGATGTCCCTTTATTACTTCGTCAAAACTTATTTTTTCAACAGGATGGAGCACCCGCTCATAATGCCATTATTGTAAGACAACAATTAAATGAAATGTTTGGAAATCGATGGATGGGAACTCACGGGCCAGTGGAATGGCCCCCACGGTCACCTGATCTAACACCATTAGACTTTTTTTTATGGGGCCATTTAAAGACTGTTATTTATGCAGATCCACCAGCAAACTTACAGGATTTAAAAAATAAAATAACGGTAGCGTGCAGACAATTAACAAAAGAACAAATTTTGGCAGCACCCTATAGAGAAGTGAGTCGTCGACTGGAATTGTGTTTAGAAAAAAATGGAGGAAATTTTGAACATTTTATTAGATAAAAAAAATAAACATAAGTCAAATCAATGTAACGGAGTAATTTTAATTTAATTCCTACTTCACATTCTTAATTAAAATCTATGAAAAAATCACTCAATTCAAGCGTGTAATGTTTTTGGTAAAATCGAAAAAATTTAATTATTTTAAAATTTCAAAAAGCTGTAACACATTCAATTTTAGGTTTAGAACTATGGTCAATGGATCAAAATTACTTAGAATAAAATAATCTATCCATATCCGGTGAGAAAAATAGGTGTTGCAATTTAAAAAAAAAAAATTTGTATTGCGCATGCGCATACTACAAGAGTTAAAAATTTGAAATTTGTCCTTAAATGTGTACTTCAGTACCCCTTAGCTATTGCAGCAAATCGTATTTCAATCTAAGATTATCGGGCTGAGATATTTAGTGGTACATTTAAAACGGGACACACTGTATACTTGTCACTTGAAATAAAAATTGATCAAATCCAAGAAAGTAGAAATTATAAGTACTGCCGTTAGTATACTATTTATTTTCTATTGTCAAAAATTATCTTCTTAAATTAAAAACATGTATACGGGTAAATTTAGGCTTTAGAAAATAAAAGGCATAAATTGTATGACAATAGCAGTATAGCACAAGCTATATTACACATGATATATTATATTTTTAATTAGGTTTAGCCGATTTTATAAGGTCTTTATGTACTCTAAAAAATCTCTAAATAATATGTAAAATGTATTAATGCACTATTTTTTTAAATTTTATTAAATACTAGTTGACCCGGCAATGCTTCGCTTTTACAAGATTTCTCAGATATTAATTTGCTATTTATTTTCTGGATGTTAAATAATTATTTTTATTTTAGACCACTTTGAGTCACTTCTCCGTATTAATATGTAGTCGTATAAATTTGGCGTCACCACCGCGGATTCTTCATAATGTTGAAAAAAAAATGATATCGCCTGTGTCACCTGCATCGCCTATTTTTTACTTATATTAGTACCTACCATACATTTATTGATTATTCATATAAATTACTAATAAATTAACTATGTTGAATTTTTATTAAATTGAAATTTATTCTATAGAAGTTCTTTTGCCGAAAATAATTATTCTGTTGTATCAGAAAAAATAAGGTCTTTTTTTAATTATTAGATTAAAAATGTGTATTATTACTATTTCAAAATGATCTTATCGAAAAATAAATGTTAACAGCTTAAATAATAATTTATTATAATTATCGTTAATTGCGCTTTGAATAAAAAATGAGTCAAGTTCCTATATAATTATTACAAAGTGGAACTCTAAATAAATATGACATAAAAACATTTATTGTAGTCTTATCAATTATGATAAATTATGTTAACAACTATTATATAAAAATAGTATGCTATCTTCCAGAAGTCCATATTTCTAATCATAGTTTACGAATTTCAATATCTTTACTAAATATTTTAAAAAAATACGTTGTTCAAACCAATCATAAATATACGGTTTATTCAAGCAATGAATGTGAACAATATTAATTATACTTCGTAAAGCTGGTTATAAATATGAATTGAATGTCAGCTGTCAAAAACAATGTCTGTCAGATTAAATAAGGTACTTACCCCGGTTTATTATGAAATTCAATCACAACCTTTTGTTTAAAACATCATGTTTTTCATTTGCTAT